AACAAAAATTAAAAAAAAAAAAAAAAAATATATATATATATATATATATATATATATATTACGAAAGAAAATGAATTTATCTTACAAATACATCCTAACTAATAGGGCAAGCAACTCTACCACTCATTCCGAACATTCCGTATTCTATACTCCAATTCTTATGAGTTATGGTCAGATTGGTTATTGCAAAACTTTATTGTGAGCTTTTTTCTTTAAAAAGATTAAAAGAAAATTTTGAAGAACCACGGAATCTATATTGTCTTTTTCAGATGATGAGAATAATACCTAACAACCTTTTAATAATATAAGTGTAAGATGTGATAAATCTCATCACAATTTGTGTGAGGCAAGCGTGTGTCAGGGCAAGTACACCTACTTTTCAAAAAAGGCAACCCCTCCGTAGCTACAATGATGGAAAAAGGACAAACATACCTAGGTCATGATTGAAGTCAGAAATAAAAGGGAACAAATTACACAAAGGACTTCATGTATCACATATTCAGCAAGCAAATAATTTAATGCAAGATCGAACACATTAAATGAAAAAGATCTGTGTAGCAATGAATGAACGATTATCTGCACCAACGGAAAGCTCCGCCTCAATGTACACATTCCAATTCAAACAACAGGTAGATTTATCACAAGACTATAAATATCAAGACCTGAGAAGAGAAGAAAAAGAGAGAAGAGAAGCAACAAGCAATAAGCAAAAAGCAAGCGCCAAAAAAATCTCACATCTCTTCTTGTTCAGATTTGAATATTCGTGTAAAACTAAGATAGGTTATCTTAGTGAGTGTAAAAACTACTCCATCATCTCTGTGAGAGTTACATACACACTCTAAACACATTCTTGTAAAACTAAGGTTGAATACCTTAGTGAGTGTAGAAACCGTCCATCCTCTCTGTGAGAGTTACATACACACTCAAAACATCTATCGTCTGTAAAGCTTGAAGAGGCTAGTAAAAGAATACTTGGAGAACCAGAAGTGGTTTAAGAATACTAGTGTCAGCAAGTAAAGTTGACGAACCAAGAGTGGTTTAGAATACTTGGGCAACCAGAAGTGGTCTAAGAATACTAGCGTCAGCGACTGAAGTTGACGAACCAGAAGTGGTTAAGAATACTTGTAATTCGTTATGATTAGTGGAACCCTTTAGTTGAAGGAGATTGGATGTAGCTCAGAACGAGTGAACCAGTATAAAAACTCTATGCATTGTTATTTGATTTAGAAACACAGTGTTACTTATATTGACTTATTACACTGGAAAACTTCGTCTATTACTACTTATTTTCTAAACAATATTTAGAAGAAATTATATTTGTTTGACTTAAGAAACTAATTTCAAACAGACAATAGATCTTCAGATGCAAAGTTTCATTTAACCAATCTCGTACGTTCTTTAAGTGCTTGAAATATTATTTTCCGATGGAAAGAAGCACCTTTGTGAAAACGTTTTAAAAATCCTTCGTTCACACACATACAACCCCCCTTCTATGTGTTTTTTACTAAACTTCAATTGGTATCAGAGCTTGACACCTAGGGTTGAGCATCTAACACTGCAGGGGTATGATCAATGGAAAATGAAAAACAGGCGGTGAACCACCCACCTTTATTCAGAGGCACCAACTACGACTACTGAAAATAAAGAATGATTGCATTCTTTGATGCATGTCATATAGACATGTAGGAGGTTGTAGAACAGGGAGACTATATTTCATTGGACGAGGCTAGCAAGGAGATACCCAAGGCACGCTAGAATGAGGGACAAAAACAAAGATTCATACTGAACTCCAAAGCCTGAAATGCACTCATGTGTGCTTTGACTGAGGAAGAATACACCAAAGTGCACAGCTTCAAAAGTGCCAAAAAAATGTGGGATACCCTAGCCATAACCTATGAGGGATCCCTGGAGGTAAAACACAAGAAGTTAAGCTTGTTGGTCCGTAAGTATGAACTCTTCGAGATGGAAGAGAATGAATCTATCCAAACTATGTTTGGAAGATTTCAAACTATTATTAATGAACTCTCTTTTCTAGGTAAGACCTATGATAATTTTGATCATATTGACAAATTGCTTCGTAGTCTACCCAGGAAGTGGAGACCCCAAGTTATGACCTTGAGAGCATCCAAGAATCTTGAAAAGCTCTCACTGGAGGAACTCATAAGACTACTAAAAGTCCATGAGATGGAGCTCTAAAAAGATAAAGCAAGAAGAAAACAAAAGTCCATTGCACTAAGTGTGCAAAAGATGAAACCTACATCATCATCCTCAAAAGCCTTGAAGGTAGAAGAAGCGTCTGATAAGAGATGCAATGAAGAGACGTGTGACTCAGACGATGAGATATCCT